GTGCCGGCCCCTGCACCTGGGTCACAACAACCCCCTGCAACGCTACAGGCTTGGGGAGGAGTGGCTGGAAAGCTGTCCGGAAGAAAAGGACCTTGGGGTGTTGGTCGACAGCCGGCTGAACATGAACCAGCAGTGTGCCCAGGTGGCCAAGAAGGCCAACGGCATCCTGGCTTGTGTCAGGAATAGTGTGGCCAGCGGGAGTAGGGAGGTGATCATGGCCCTGTACTCGGCAGTGGTGAGGCTGCACCTGGAGTACTGTGTTCAGTTTTGGACCCCTCACTACAAGGAGGACATTGAGGTGCTGGAGCGTGTCCAGAGAAGGGCAGTAAGGCTGGTGAGGGGTCTAGAGAACAAGTCTGATGAACAGAGACTGAGGGAGCTGGGTCTGTTTAGTCTGGAGAAGAGGAGGCTGAGGGGGGAGCTTATCGCTCTCTACAACTACCTAAAAGGAGGTTGTAGTGAGGCAGGTGTTGGTCTCTTCTCCTAGGTAACTAGTGATAGGATGAGAGGCAATGGCCTCAAGTTGCATCAGGGGAGGTTTAGATTGGATATTAGGAAAAATTTCTTTAGTGAAAGAGTGGTCAGGCATTGGAACAGGCTGCCCAGGGAAGGGCTTGTGTCTCCATCCCTGGAGGTGTTCAAAAAACGTGTAGATGTGGCACTTTGTGATATGGTTTAGTAGGCGTGGTGGTGTTGGGTGGATGTTTGGACTTGATGAGCTTAGAGGTCTTTTCCAACCTATGATTCTATGATTCTTTAGCCAAGTGCTGATCGCTGCCCTCACTGCAGCCGGGTTGCCCAGTTACTGGTGCGTGTGATCCGAGGCTTGTGTTGTGGCATACCTTTGGGTATCGCAGCGAGTCTGTTCAACACACCACGCAGAGGCACTCCGTTGCCTAGTGCTTAAATCTTGTTTGAACTGCTGTGTCTTTTCGGCAGAAGTGGTTGTCCCAGAAGGCTTGAACTGTTGTGTGAATGGTGTGTTGATTGTAAGTTGGAGCCTCGTGAGGGTAGAGCAGTGTGTTTCTTTTGTCTAGTCCGGTAGCAGTGCTTTAACAGAGAGCTGCTTTTTGGTGCTTTCAAATTTAGCTTGGAGAACTGCTTTAGTCCATGTTGCAAACATGTTAGTTTTTGTTTGTGGTGCTTTGAAGAATGCTTTTGAAAGTGAACTGTGCTAGTTTTTAAATCTTATTTTTCCTTCGAGGTGTCTGCTAGGGTTGTAACTTGCATGTTGTGTGGTTGAATAAATCCATTTTTGTGGCTAGCAAAGGATGCAGTTCTAATTTACTTCTTAATGGGGAGTTATGGACTCAGTCCAAGCTATTGATGGTGTCAGAGCTGTTCGCCAGCTGCAGAAGTCAGAGTGGGCATTGTCTGTCAACACACGGCTCCTTGGTTGCTTGAAGCTTGCAGTGAGTGTACAGTCTGTGTAATTAGAGCTGCTTTAGTTGTGATGATTGAGTCCTTTTGTTCTTGAAATTCTAGAAGTGAGCTTTAGCCCTGGTCTAGTTGAAGGCTGGGAAATGGAGGAGTGCTGCCTGTTAGGGCAGAAATGGAAATCTCAATGGAAATGGAAAATAATTAATGAACTTCTTTTATTTCTATGTTTCCTCTAGTGTTCAGGAAGCTATTTTAACGTAGACACCAACTTAGGTGAGGAAACACGTACAGTGTTCATTGCATAAATGCATTAATGCATTTAAAATAAAAAGTTCCTTGTTCTTTAAAAAGTAACTCTTTTGGGAGATGTGGAAAAGCAGATGTTGAAACATAGGCAGAGGTGAAGAGACTTGTCTGATACCACAGTAGATTAGAAGCTACTTGTGGTGGGGGGACACCTGGTGTCTGCAGAGTTGTTTCTCTCACATGCTCTCACTCCTCATTTCTGGCTTCTGCTGGTGTTGTGCAGGGTTTTCCCCCTTCTCCACTGTGTTATCCCAGAGGTGCTACCACCATCGCTGATGGGCTCGGCCTTGGCCAGCGGCGGGTCTGTCTTGGAGCTATCTGGCACTGGCTCTGTTGGACACAGGGGAAGCTTCTGGCAGCTTCTTACAGAAGCCACCCCTGTAGCCCCCCTGCTACCAAAGCCAGTGCAGTACTGCAGCTGGAACCACCTTTGCACTAGACCATGTTGCCTCCGGTGTACAGTAAGTGGTGAATTCTCCCAGGTGATTTAATCAGTCACTAGAGCAACCTCTTGTCACTTGATTGTTAGAGCAAAATGTGTTGTTTGGAATGCCACGTAGTTGTGAACTTGGTGGCTTACTGTGTAGCCAAAATGTGAGATCTTACTCATCTTCAGGTGTTGACAGAAAGTGTGTAAAGGCAAGGAAACACATGGTTAAGTTGTAGCAGTATCCTGATTCCACCTTAAATGGGCTTGGGAAGACTTTTTTTATTGTTGCTTTTGGGAATGTGAACCCCTTTGGTTTGTTTGTTTCATCTAGGATGGACGCAACTCTGAAGGAGCTGACCAGCTTGGTGAAAGAAGTCTACCCAGAAGCACGGAAGAAGGGCACACACTTCAATTTTGCAATTGTTTTTACAGATCTCAAGAGGCCTGGATATAGGTAAATGGCATTTCTTCTCTGGATCAGTAGAAGACTTCAGGCACCAGAGCAGTAAATTATTTTTCTGTAACACCGATTTTAAAGTTGAGAACCCACAAATCAAATTTCTAAAGTAGTTGGTAGCAGACTATAGGATGAGCACTGCAAACTCGAAATTTTGCTTGGTGGCCGTCGTCGTTAAGGTGTTCCCAAAACAGTGAGCCTGTGTGCTTGAAGGCTTTGCTCGCAGTACTGGCGGCCAGCCAGGACGTGGACCTGCGGCTTGAGATGAAGCTGTGTTTCTGGTGGTGCGAGGAGCGGTAGGTCTGGTAACTGGGAATGAGTTTTAGCAGTGATCTTCTTGCAGGTGCCCGGCTTTCAGAACTGCATGAGTTAACCTTGGTCAGCAGCAGCGAGGGGATGCACCCTGCCTTGTGGTCTGCGGGGTCTTGTTCTGCGGGTGCGTGGAAGGGGGCACAGCTTCTCTCTAGTGCTTACCTTTATACAACAGAAGGTTCTCCCCCCGCTGCCCCCTCAGAAGGAGCATTCAGTGTGGCTTTTCTTGGTGCGCCTGGTACCGGAGAAAAAAAACCCAGCATTGTGTGTAGCTGGCTGAGGGTGGCATGGGAGGGCGGTCATGAGCCGACGCAGTTCCTGTTTTTGGGCATCCAGAGAGATTTGCCTCTGATGACTGACCTGGCTTTTCTCTCCTGCGCGCAGGGTGAAGGAGATCGGCAGTACCATGTCGGGCAGGAAGGGCACAGATGATTCCATGACATTGCAGTCTCAGAAATTCCAGATAGGAGACTACTTGGATATAGCAATTACTCCTCCAAATCGTGCACCGCCTCCATCAAGCCGCATGAGACCGTACTAAACCATTGCTCTTTGTATGATTGCGTCTTCTGTTTATTCCTACTTGCTGTTCTAAAGCAGGCTTATTTTTTTGCTTTTATTGCTAAGCCAGATGACCTGAAGACAAAGCTAAGCATCAGAAATGAAAGTTAACTTTTAAACCTTGACTTTTAGTTTGTTTGTTTAGAAGAAACCCTTCTCTTTAGCAGTGCCATCATCCCGTGCCTGATTGTTACAGTTTGAGCAGTAAGTCGGTGTGTCTGGTGTTTCAAGATTTCCATAAAATGCGACCAGAAAGATTACAGGCGTTCTGTAGTTCCATCTTGTTTGGAATAAAGATTGATGGTATTAATCTTTTTGATAGTGTGGTGGTATTTTTTGTGTTTTTTTTTAAGCAGATTTCTGCAGAGAAATTTGGAAGACTGCTCTTAAGCAGAAATTGAGATGGAAAGGAGGGTCAAAGCCCTTGTCTGGTAACTTCTGGGCTTGTTGAGTAGAGGTGGGCGGCCTCATGGCGAGTTCTGGGACCGGAGATTTCTTATGCCACTGCTGGTGGGATTGTGGGGCGTGAGCACATGAGCGGTGTGGTCGAAGGTGGGCAAACTCGGTGTTACGCTCCCTGCTGCCATCGATACGCTGGCAGGGAAGCCTGGGGGTGAGCTGCGTACGGCTGCCTGTCCTGCGGGAGAGCGAGGGGCCTGAGGACACACCACTGCTGCTCTGTCGTGTGCCAAGATGACACCAGTCTGAGGATTGGGAGCGGCCTCGCTGGCACCAGTGTATCCCAGGGTGCTGGGGAGCTGCTGGCCTTGCCGGAGAAAGATGTGGTTTGACACGCTTGCATGCCATCCTTAACGGAGTTCTGAAGGAATGCGTGTTGTCTTCAGAACGGGGAGGTATAAAGCTGTGTTTGGAGGTCTTGCTTTGCTTAGAACAGCGGTGTCCAAACATTTTTCGGTTGTACACCCCTATCAGTATAAAATTTTTGAGCGCATGCCCTTATAGATGATACACATCTACTACTGTACTAATCTATTATGTGCATTTTAAAACTACACAAAAATAGAAATGAAAAAAGAAAGGTGAAATACTTCAAAAAAATGTTAAATGGTGTTTATTAATGGTACAAAAATTTTTTTCTTCTTGCACCCCACTTGTACGTGTACGGCTTTGGAGATGGTCTTGTCTTGCACACCCTACTTTGAAGATTTACATAGATCGTTTTCTTTCAGGAGTCCCTCGCTGTGGTGTAGCCTGAGGGATTTTAGGTTCAGTTCTGCTCATGGGCCACCCTCTTCTGCCCCCCCTTCTCTGGCCTCTGAGGGGGAGTCACCATTTCAGCCTTCCTGCATGACCCTTGGTTGCAGAACTACCTGTGTCTGAGTCACTTCTTCCCCCGAGAGGCTGAAAAGCGCTCCCCACCTTTTTAAAGAGAGCTGAAGAAAAGACAGTGTAAATACCGCTCTGTAAAGGACTGGGAGCGTGGAAGCAGCAATGGAGCTGCTCTGGCGTGGCCAGAGGTAGGATGGGTGGGATGTTGTGCCAGGGTGAAGGCAGCCATTGCTGGTGCAAGGAGGGGGCTCTCCCCGATGCTGCATGTGGCATAACAGCTCAGTGCCCTCTGTGTCACCAGGGTCAGGCTTGGGACCCCTGCCGCCGGCATGCTGGGTCATGGCCACCAGCTCAGTCACCTGGTGGTTGGCATCTGACAGACCTGGGCATCACCTGTGCTGCAAACTCATGGGGCAAGCCCTGCAGCAGCCAGCCTCCCGCCAGCGGCATGGACAGCCCTACCCACAGGGAACACAGAAACAGGGGCATTGCCTCACTCCTGTATCCTGGTTTTTGCTTTAATTGCGTTTAAAGATCATTCTCAGAATTAAATGTCATCAATACATAAGGCAACAGCAGCAGGTCTGGGTCTGTGACTCAGCTGCTTGGCTTCACTGCTGGAATGGGGGCTGTGGCCCAGTGAGGGCATGGGCCTGCCCAGCCTGGGGCAGGTCTTCACACACTTCAGAGGAACAACTCTTTATACTTATCTTTACACTTGGTGGCCCATAAAGCAAAACCACCAGGAAATGATCACGCAGAACTGCCTTCAGCAGCAAATATTTCAGATTGACTGCTCAGAAGCAGAGTTCACATCACTGCCATGGAAGCAGAAACCTCAGCTGACCTCTTCCCTGGCTGCTTTGGGCTGAACAGCTCTCGAGAAAGAGATTTGCCCACACACACTTGCAGTCCACATGGAAAGGTAACACGGAAGTGGAGTTCAGCTTTCTGTACCTGTTGTTATGGGAAAAGACAGCTGAGAGATCAGTGTGGTCAGGGTTAGGGGTTCTCCATGTCGCTACACAACACAGTCAAGGCCAACAGCAGCAGGTTTGAACTTGGATGCTGGGATAGGGCGAGCAGCTGTGAAAACAGACAGCACCAGGCTGCAACTGTCCAGGTTGGATGGTTGGAGGTTTAATGGCCTCAGGGTGGGTCAGGGGAGGTTTAGATTGGATATCAGGAAACATTTCTTTACTGCAAGAGTGCTCAGGCATTGGAACAGGCTGCCCGGGGGTGGTGGACTCACCATCCCTGGAAGTGTTTAAAAAGCGTGTAGATGAAGAACTTCAGGACATGGTTTAGCAGGCATGGTGGTGTTGGGTGGATGGTTGGACTTGATGGTCTTAGAGGTCTTTTCCAACCTTAATGATTCCATGATCCAGGTGTTGCAAGAGGTGTAATGGTAAGTGACAGCTGTCACCTGCTGAGCTCCTAATGCACAGGAGGGAATTTACTCACAGTAAGGAGGTTGTGGTTGTCTCCTCTGAAGCTGCTATAAAAGCTGAGGAAGGACGTCAGTCCCTAAAAAGAGCAAAATATGTACAGCACTGTGGGTTGGGGAAGATTAAAACATGGTCTGAAAGCCCAACACCAGTGAGCAATCCCCTGTGCTCAGGAAGCAAAGTCGTGTAGACACCACTACATCCAGATCTGTCAGTCCACAGGACCTGCTTTGTATTCAGCAATGTCATGACGAATTTGTGTCCCTCATCAAGGCGGCTGGATGAGATGTTCGTTGTTTTTTTTTTCCCCCCTTTTCCTTTTTGGCTGCTTAAAGCCCTTAACAGACACAACTCTGTTTCATGTCTGCGCTTTCACCAGCGACAACCCCTCCACGGCTCCTTTCATGTCCCAGCTGCGCAAGGCAAAGAACGAAGATGTTTGTTCACAACACAAAGTTTCCCTGACTTTGTCATTTCTTGGAGATAACCCCCCCGCACAGCACCCCAGCCAGCCCTTCCCTCCTGCCCGGGTGGCCCCAGGGATTGCGCACCTACACCCCCTGCCCACGGGTGTCCCTCCAGGCCTCCCCTTGTCCCCGTCCTTCTCACAGGGGGTTGGGTTTTCTCTGCCTTTGACCGGTGACAAACTCCTGGGCCCTCGTGCAGGTCTCCAGCCCCTGTGGCCCCCAGCCCCTCCGGCTGTGGCAGCGAGCCAGCTGAGCTGGGCCTCCCGCACCCCACCTGGGGGGGCCAGCACAG